ACCTGATCTATTAAATGAAGGTACAACTACTACAGTGACACAATGACTTGTCATGTCAGGTGACTACTTATCACCAGGATTACTGTCATCTGGATTATACATTCCATAGATCTGTGAGGTATATGTGGTTTTAAAATGTTTTCCAAATAGCATATCACTTAAAGTGTTATATTTCATACTCCCCCAGTCCTTCCTCCACACATCCCTTTACCATGATCTCCTTTGTTCATCGCACCACTTACTCCTGGCTAACTCCCTCCAACCTTGTATCTCTACAGCAAACATCTGTTATGCTGACACCACGAAGGATTGTTGTGGTCATTTTTTAATTTTTATCACTTTTTTTGGAGTAGAAATGTATCAAGACCAGAGACATTTTATCTGAACACAATTACTCATAATGTCTTCAGCAATCCTACTTTTACAGATAACCCAGTTATGTTTACCATAGTAAATAACCAGAGACTTCCCAAAAAGTAGTCCCTTACTGCAAGGACCTGACGTTCTGCTCAACATGATTTTCCCAGAGCAGAACAAGTGAAATTCCATGTCTGCTCCTGGAGTCTGGAAAAAGGTATGAGAGAAGAGAGTAAGGAGACTGCCCCTTCCTTCTTTCCAGAAGGCTCTAAGTTAAGCCCAGTCACCTCAAGACAAGACAACCTGGAGAAAAAACTTTAGCCCTTTCTCTAACATAATAGCATCCCACTTCATTAAGTTGCATTAATGTTTGAGAATCTTTCAACAGTCATTACAGCCAAAAGTGCTTTCCTTAACAAAACTGATCTCTTTCTACTTGCCCGCGGCACCCGCTGTTTCACCATCTGACTGTTAGATTTAGTCTGGCTCCGCCTCGAGTTTATAACCATATTGCCCATAGAGCTGGACACGCAGGACGCTCAAGAACTGAACTGAAATGTGTGCTGAGCTCATGCCAGACCTAGACTGTCTAACGCTGCCTGTGCCCCCCTCTAAGGCAGCACGAGCCACAGGTGGCCACTGGAGACACAGACAGCCTATGCAGCGGATTTCAGAAATGAGGTACGATTTTAAAAATAATTAAAATATCTCATTCAGTTTTTCTGTTAATCGTACGTTGAAATCTTTCTTTGGATATTTTGGGTTAAATAAAACATCAACATTTTATTATTCTATGTGCCTGTGAGATATTTTTAAATTACATATGCGGATCGCGTTATACTTCTGTTGGACACCACTGGTCTAAAGGACGACAACATAAAAGCTATACATTTCAATCACGCCTTGTCTTTAGGAAGCGTTTTCTTTCATATCGCTTAGCGATTCCTCGCAGGAATCATCCGGCATACCAAAAGCCATGCCTCTCGCTCTAGGGGCTTCTAATCCCGGTCCCTGCCCCCCAGAAATTTTAGTTCTTTAAAAGCCAAGGACGGGCAAACCCTGTAAGGCGTTTTAAAGAGAACAGGACCCCGAGAACAGAATGTGGTTTTTGCCTCAGAAAAGTCCCTTGGGGGGCAGGGTAGTGCGGCGGCTCAGGCGGCGGGAGAGAAGACGCACGCGACGGCCTCGGGCCCTGGCGCGGAGGACCCGGGGTTCCCGCTCCGGTGTCTGGGCCCGGAGCCCTGCGCCGGTGGGCGACCTCCCCAAGATGGCCGCCGCCGAGGGGGGGGCCTGCTACGACCCCCTCCGAGCCCGCCCCCGCGCTGCCTGAGTGCCGATTGGGTGGGACGGCTCGGTCAGGAGCGGTGATTGGGCCGCACGGTGTGAGCTGGGCGGGACCGGAAGTGGTCTCAGCCTGAGGACTCCAGGGGTCTGGGGCTCGGCGTCGGTCCCCTGGGAATGTGGAGAGCTGGCAGCATGTCTGCGGAGCTGGGAGTCGGGTTCGCGCTGCGGGCAGTGAACGAGCGCGTGCAGCAGGCGGTGGCGCGGCGGCCGCGGGTGAGGAAGGGGGCCGCGTGGGCACGGCGGGCGGCCGCTTTGCGGAGAGGGACACTTGCGTGGGAATGGGTCGTCACGGTGACGCAGAGGGGTCTCCCGGAGGGGCGGGACCGTCGCCCGCCGAGGCGTCGGCGGGGGTTGCAGAGCCCCCGAAAGCCTAGCGAAGGATTTCCTCAACCACCTGGCCACGAGTCTGTTAGGTTTTCTGGAGGTTGCCTCAGTTGGAGCAGAAGGTACCCCCCACCTCGGGAAAATGACCGGTGTCCAGGCACCGTGGCCATTGCCCGTCGCTTCGTGTAGCGATCGACAGCCTTGGCGGACCCTGAGAAGGGCCAAGCCTGTGCCCCCAGGCAGCAAGAAAAGACCTCTAATGCAAGAGCACCCGGAGGAGACCAGATCCGCCCGAGATCACGTGTGTGGCAGTGTCTGACAGCTAGTAGTGCTCAGAAAATATCGGTTCCACCTGTAGGCCAAGGTGAGGGCGGATTGGCTGGACCTGGCAGGCACCAGAGCTGCACTTGCATGTTTGGGGCAGGAGGGAGCTGTCCGAGATCCAACCCCAAGCAGGTTAAGGGGAGATTTTCTTTTGTTTATATATAGTTAGCCCGGTCTTGGACTTTTATTAGCCCAAGAATCAAAATCTGCCCCCCTCAGTACAAGTTTAAGCTGAATGGTGTGGAATGAGACGCACCTGGACAGAGAGGTTAAAGGTTTCTCTGATCAAGCATTTATGGTATCAGAGCTCAGAATGCTGGACAGAAGACCTCTATTACAGTCTTTCCTTGACTACTCAGAATGTTACCTAGAACAAGTCACTTCACTACTCTGGCTCTCATTTTCCTCCGTGTACATGCGGTGGGATGAACTCTGAAAGCTCTAAGCTTCCCTTCTGGCATTAATGTTCTATGACTCTCAGTGATTCTCCCCCAAAAATCTAGGAATTCCCTTAATAAACATCACTCTGGGAGGTTCTCTTTCAGGGCAATTCTCAGGCAGATGGGCTGCCTGTTCCACTTTTCTCTCTGGAAACGATCAATTAATTCATTAACATAATCCTGAGAGTCATGACATGATCTCATAAGAGAAGCCCCTTGGAAGGAAGGGACAGGAGACGTTTTGCTAATTGACCTGACTCCTTCATGTCCTTGAGAATACTGTTCTGTGGAGCATCTGAAGACTGAACTATGCAGGGATTAATAAGTCTCTTCGCTTACTGCTTCTGTGTGCATTTGGATACAGCAGAATGCAGGGAAACCCTGCTGTTTAGGCCATGGCCATGAGAGGATATCAGATAGGTCTAATCCTCAGTCCAGAATTTTCTGTGTCCCAGTCTTAGTTGTGCCACTTGTTCTTGATTCATAGATTGAACGATCAATTACATAGTTACCCTAAGCCAGTCACTCTTATAGTGAAGGGGG